ATTAATTGTAATTAGAATCTATTTTACTTTTGTTTGTTTGTTTCAATAGGCCTTGTTAATATAAAATAAACCTAGTAAATATAATTCCCGTTTGTATTCATTCTTAACGCCGACAAAGTTGATAAAATTCCGATCAGTAAAAAAGAGGTCCGCTTATCTTTTTGTGACCTACACTGATAAGACCGTTTATTTTGAAAGGAAAATAACACTACACTCAGAGAACTACTTTGCTTGAAATTAAGAGAAATATAACAGACCCCTGGAATTAAACTTTCTTCACTGCAGCTATCCCGAGTACTTACTCTAAACCGAGGGTAGGTTTCACGTGGAGTTTCCCCCACGTAACCGATTGGGAAACTGGCGCCCGAGACAATCCGCACAAAAAGATTTAATCCGGAGTACGTTTCTGTGACGTCACTCACCACCGCCGGCTGCCGACCACCGCCGCCGATAAACTAGTAGTCAAGGGTCGTCATAAAGTAGGCGTCCAAATAGGGACGTCAGTGACGTCAATAAAGCTAGTAAATTAAAATTCGTAATTGTGAATTAAGATTCCGTTTAGAGTTGGTAGTATACCGGGGGCAGCCACAAGTAACGTCTGAACCGAACCGTCACCACCGCCAAATCAAAACCAAGTAAAATATATAAAGGGTGTTACAAAAATTTGGCAACCGAGCAAAGTACGTTACAGTACCTTGTTCACATCGTAGCCGTGCACAATATTGTGAACGTCAGCCGGTCAGTAACAGCCTGAAAAGGGGGTTAAATAATGATTATATTTTTTTTCAGCTTAAATATGCATTTAATTTTTTTTTAATCACGCCATCGTATTATACTCATTTTTCTCTATCTGCTCTTAAAATTAATGACATTATGACTGAATCACCCTGTATAAAAAGTTAGACAGATTTTTACATTGATGGGACAGTATAACTAGCGCCCTCTAGACGTGACCCCAACACTCTTTGCATATTCATATTTGCCTCCTCAAAAAACGTAAAACTACAAATTTTCAAAACAATCGGTCCATACATACTTAAAATATAGATAAAAAAAGAAAATATTTTTTCAACTTTAACACCCTGTAGAATGAAAATGAGCAACAATTGATTAAGGCATGTTTGGCTCAATCGCTATATTTTGACGTTAACAATCTGCCATTAAGCTGTGTACCATTATTAATGATTCACCCTGTATACCAGAGATGCTCAAAGTAATACATTTCAAAGCACCATACCATGCACAAACTCAGGTTAATACAGCACGTATTCGGTGTAAAAATATCATTGTGCATGCTTAAGCGCCTGTAGTTCAGACTATCACTCATCTGGCGATTCGCCAAAAAGGAGATCACCGGGCGAACGTCTATGCAATAGAAATTACGAGCCGTTCTTTCGTCAGCGACTCGCTAGATATTTGCCAGGTATAACTTCAGCGAGTCGCTGGCGATCGACAGTGCATTCGGGCGTAAGTATTTTTCTCCTTGTCCTGGTCCGAGTTTCAGTTTGTTTTGTTTTAGTTGCTGTTAGTGGTTTACTTTTGTTGGTCAAACCACTTTTTAAACATGCCAAGAAATATTGACACTGTCAGTCCCAAGCCTGATAAAATGTGAGGGAAAAGTGGTTTTGCAAAGCCTTCTTGATGCTGTTACATAACTAAAGGGTATTCAATTTTGCATTCACCCATGACAATTAATATGGGTCATTCCATTTGAAAAAAAAAAGTTTATCAACTAGTTGAGATTATTAAATGTAGGTCTCAGTATTTCTGAGTCTGAATAACATATGTTTTGCTCACAGATGACAAGATAGAGTAATTTATGCCAAAACGAACTGTGATGCTACCTAGCCTCATTTAGTGAGCTGAAATGGTGATTTTTTTCAAAAACAACTGAATATCTAGAAAACGATAAGTCTCAAACACCATATACGTTTAATAAACTTTACCTAATATTAACCAAGGAATTCAAAAATGCAATAATATACAGGGTGTTCCATTTAAAATAACAAAGCTAAGTAGCGCCCACGCGAAATGGAACACCCTGTAAAGATAAGAATATTTTCTTTACATGGTTCACATGATTCCAGGCAACAAATTTTACATTTATAGATCTTCAAAAGAATCCCTATTAGGTGGAACACCCTGTATATGTATACTCTACTATACACTTCACTAAATACCACTTCAAATTTTAATATAAAATTAAACTTAATAGGTAAAACACTTACTCTTAAATGAATAAACAGAAAACTGAAATAAATGTAATAAAATGAAGTGAAGTGAAGTTTTGTGCTCGCCTACACCCTGTTGTATATTCAAACTAAAAGAAACTAAAAAGTACAAACAAATCTTTGGAATAACACTGGGAATCAGGGACAGATGGGGCGGTCGGTTATTCAGGCAAATGAGTCGGTTGAATTATTGACTAGTGCCCTGCAAAAAACCCATGGCCACCACATGATTTCTGTGGCTGCAATGGCATTCATCAGCGCCCAAAGATCAGCTACCCACCGCTTTATGAGCATAATGACAATAGATAGTTTGAGATGTGTCCAAAACGTGACCGTATTAGTATTATACTTTTACTCAATTTCCGGGATGACATCCGCCCACAAGAATAATTTTATAAACATACGCCAAATTAAATGTTTTTTTATAAAATTGCGAACACTGATAAAATGATACTTACTTTAAGACACATATTAGCATCTGGTTTTTCAGCGGGTTCCGGCGGCGGAGGCGGTTGTTGTATTTGATGGTGTTGCAGGATAGGTATATCGACTTGGTGGTGAGACATTCTGCGACCTCTTTTTGCACCACCTCTGGACTGTCTCATTCCTCTCTTTCTACCTTTAACAGATGAGGTTCTTTCCATCATATGATGCATGGGCTGAGGATCGTCCACATTTTCATCTGAAGGTTGTGTCTCTCCGCCTTGTGGCGCTGTTATTGTATTGGCTGTTAGAGCTCCTTCTAAGTCAACTGCTGGTTCGTCTAATTCAGTTGCCATTTTTAATGCCATTTGTAGCATATCATCACCGAAGGTATTGCTAGCATCGACTGGTTCTGGACTGTAGCTATCCTCAGGTCCGCCAGTTTCATCCACATCACTTTCAGAATCCGTCGCCTCCTCTTTTTTTTCTTCTGCTACCATCTCAGCCATCATTAACAATTCGGCTTCATATGGATCTGTCGGAATTTTAACTTGGATTTTCTAAAAATATATATATATATAATTAGATTGAGATATATAGGATGTTTTATTAAAATTGGGGCAGAATTTTGAGAGTGATTTAGCTAAACTTAACTTGATAAAATTTTGATACTTTTCAATCTACAAGATGTCTTGTCCAAGTTTAAAATAATTTGTAATCGTGGTGATATTTTAAGATCTATTTCACCTATCAAGTTGAAAACTTCATAAGACACTTTTTGAAACTAAAATTTCAAAATTGGAACTAAAAAGTTCTCCATTTTTGAGATACAGTTATTTTCCATCTTCTACAGTGTGTTTCACTTAAAGTCGGAACAACTCCATATTTAGGATAGCGGTCGATTTCCAAAATTATTTTTTTTTTATCTGATAGTACTGAAAAAGGCTCACTTTTTGATATTATATTTTTTGACATGTGATCTTTTCTACAGCCTACTATCATTAACCCTTTCGCTGCGCAATACGTCTGAACGTAGCTACCGCGCCGTGCGCGAAAGTTTATCGCGTGCGAACATATACGTCTGGAACAGTTAGACCACTTATAGTTTTACATTATGTTGTGTTAAATTACGATTTACGATCAATTTTACGATTTTATTTTAATTGAAAGAGAGATGAACAATCAGTACCAGTACCTCCTTTCATAAAAATATTTGTCATAATCGCTATAAACTCTGCCCGCAAAAATTCCCCATACCAATTGCAACAACCGAGTCACTATGTGCATGGTTGCGAATATATATGGTTTGAGCAGCCTGATCCAATATAACTATTCAAGCGAATTAATCCGTCTGGAGCAGTTTGAGCCCTATAAATTTTTAGCGAATAAATACGTCTGGAGCAGTGAAAGGGTTAAGAAACGACCCTCAAAAATTAAAAAACATATTAGGCATTTTTTTAAGAAACAAATGGATAGTATCTTCGATTTGATCACACCTCAAAACCCTAATTACAAAGTTTACTAAATAGGTGCTAACTGTATTAACAGTGGAAAATATGTTCAAAGTATTTTTCCATAATTTTATTAACCGAAGGTATATCTGTGCAGTTTCATTGATTTCACTCATACAGGGTGCTCACAATAAGACAGCCAAATTATATATTTTTTTAACATACCAGAAATGAGTTTCACAACGAAATTATATTTAAATATTACTGTTTTCTATTAGCCCATCATCATTTGGTATGCACTGTTCAATTCGTCTCCTCTTATTTTTAATAACTCTCCTCAACTAATGTAGTGTTATTTGTTGACATGCTTATCTAATTTTATTACATAAATCTTATTTAAAAAAATTAATGTGTTTTGTTGGATTTTATGTGATCGAATAATCGGGTCCTTCCTTTTTAACGTTAATCTAAACGCAGATTTTTTTGAATTTATTAAATAATGATTTATGGGATTCAGTACATGCACTTCTTCATGTAATACAGAACCCCTACCTTCAACTAGATGGAACACCTATTTATCATACTGTAATAGTACGTCATTGGTTGAATGAGAATTTCTCGAGAAAGTAGATAGGTTGGAACAGTCAGTTAATTGAGTGGCCGTCAAGGGCTCCAGACTTGATGCCTCTTGATTTCTTTTTATGGGGAACTGTGAAAAATAAAGTAGACTCCAGAACAGAGAAGATTTATGTAATAGAATTAAACAAGCATGTCAACAAATAACACATCAGTTGAGGCGAGTTATTAGAAATAAGAGGAGATGAATTGAACAGTGCATACCAAATGATGGTGGATTAATATAAAACAGTAATATATAAATTTTATTTCGTTGGGAAACTCATTTCTGGAATAATAAAAACAATATATAATTTGGCTGTCTTATTGTGAGCACCAAAGTATGAGTGAAATCAATGAAACTGCATGGATAGGTATACCTTCGGTTAATAAAATTATGAACAAATACCTTGAAAATATTTTCCACTGTTAATACAGGACACTCTGGAGTGAGTGATATTTTTCGAAGTTTACACCTATTTAGTGAACATCCTGTAGAAGCTATAATAATGAAACTTTGTATTTAGGGATTTGAAGTGTGAACAAATTGAAAATGTTATCCCTTTCTTTCTTAAAAAAATGCCTAACATGTTTTTTAATTTTTGAGGATCTTTTTTAATGACAGTAGGTCGTAGAAAAGATCACATGTCAAAAAATATATCAAAATGTAGACCTTTTTGAGTACTACCATACAAAAAAAAAAGAATTTTGGAAATTGGTCAACGCCATCCTAAATACTTTAGCTATTCAATAAGTGTTGTTAAAAATAGAATCATGTGCAGATGTTAGTGGCCAGTCTAATAATCAGGATAGTCATAAATGACGGAATTCAATAAATCAAGAATGTTAAATGATAAACAATGTGTATAAGGTATGTCTGTAAGAGAATTTGCGCACGAAATGCGGATATGGTGCAGTGGAAAAATGCAGTTCTTTAACACAGTGTTTTATATATGTGATGTGTAAGAAGATTAATAGATTTTATTATTAAAATAAATTTGCACAGAAGAAATGCACAAGTCAAATATTACTTTTTATTGTCTCAATAAGTTTTACTGCTTAGTTTACATAAAAGGATAATTTTTTTACTTAAAACGAAATAGAAAATGTATTCATAATATGACGATGATGGTAGAAAAACAATAGTGTCAAAGATATACCGGCTGTCTACTATAAGAGGTCCACTCCTATGTATCTCGCTTAATTTACGACACACATCAAAAAAATTTTATATGTTTTTTTATTGCATTTTTTGAGATCTTTATGCTCGTAAAAACAGATTTGAGATCCATGGCCAACTTTATGAGTAATGATAAAAAAAACGGAAAAGTACCGAAAGTTTAGGGTCGTCTAATTTTTTTATTTCAAGAGATAGAGAATTTTAATAAAATTTCATGGCAAATTTGATATCTTTCACCTAGTGTAAACAGATTTTTAAAATACCATATGTAATTTGCTGCACCCTCTATGCGGGTAAAAAATAATTTGTCATCAAAGTAGGCCGTGGCTACAAAAAAATTGCTTGTTTTTCCTCTTTCATGTAATATACTACATGTTGCCTTTATCATTTATATTTATTACATTTTTTACAATTTTGGTGTAGACACGTCAACTACAAAAAATTTAATAAATATTTTGTACTTCTTTTAAGCAAAAGGCAGATTTTCTTTTCAGAGTATTATAATATTGGTTTTTTACTGTAGAGAAAACTGAGCCTTCAACATAGATAAAATAGCTTATGCTAAATGTAGCACTTGTCGCCACGGGTAAATTTCGCAAGTTTTGTTTGGATGAACCTCATTGGTCGAAGAATCGCGGGTCCCTTCGACCGAGCATTTAAATACTCCACCTCAAACACTTGGTCACTTGTTCTGGACAGAGAGAGTCAAGTCGAGTCAGAGTGTGGACGCACGATGGTTGACTTTTAACTTTCACTTCAACTTTCATGAACCGCCTCCCAGGTCGCGTTTATTTTTATTTTGCTATTTTATTCGTGTGACTAAGGTATACCAGTGAAGACTGAGGTGGCTGAGAAAGCGCGTCGCGTTCGCGTTCAAAAAAGGGTTCTGCTGAGTGCATAGCCACCAGCTCAGCCCCCATATACAATACCAACCCCAGGAAAAGATTGCCACCGCAAAATCAGTCGAACATAGAGGAGCAACAAATAAACACGCTATGAAAACAAATCTGTTATCCCAGTAATGTCATCATTTAACAAATTGTTTATTGTTATACCTAGTTTATATATAACAGTTGGTTTGAAAATTGTTACAGTTCACTGTGATTTGAAAAACTATAATTTTTAATAATAATGATATTTTCATATATTGAGAAGTGTAATGTTTGTATAGTACAGGGGTCGGCAAGTAATTTTGGGTGGTCCGGATATTTTTGAAAATTTTTAACGAGGTCCAGAAAAAATTCGTATTCCTTACTAATTTTTTGTTTTAATTTGCACTCACAAAATAATATGATATTCAATGGATAGGCATATGTATTCAAAAATCAGTGGGAGAAATTACATTTGCTGTCTTAAGTCAGTTTTTTTACTAACCTACTAACCATTAAAAAATGGTATCGATGTCGCACTCAAACGTATTATTATCTATAGAAAAATATTTTTTTAAATAATTTGAGTATACTTTAAAAAAATTTTTGGCAATCCAGTTTTTTACCTTTGGCGGTCCGGATCTGGACCGCGGTTCGCCAGTTGCCCACTGCTGTATAGTGCTATCAATGCAAATTCAATTCTATTCAAGCATTTGCGGAATATAGAAAACCTTCGCTGATAAAATCAACTGTTGTTAATAAAATAAGTAATGTTAACAGAATTTTAAATTATGTAAATAGGAAAAATGAGCAAAACAGTGAGAGATTGAAATAAACTACAATTTGGAGAAGGATAGTGCAAGTAGGATATTACGAAAAAATGGTTTCAAATATTATAAGGTGAAAAAAGTGCATCTCTTGAGGTGGAAGATGAACCGAGGAGATTAGGGTTGTTTAAGTGGTGACAAGAAAGAAAAAGCGAAGATTCTTTTTTATGTAGAAAAATTCTCTGGTCAGATGTGTTTAATTTTTGTAACAAAAGATTTTTTAATAGGAACATTTACTTCAAATGGACTAATGGTAATATACACTGACACGGAGAAATTGCATTTCAACAAGGGTTTTCAGTAAACGTTTGGGTTAGAATTCTTGATAGCAAAATCATAGGACCTTACTTCTGACGGTAAACTGATAGGTGACAGATATTATAGATTCTTTGCTTATAAGAAGTACATTATATTCATTAAATTTATTGTAGTTGACATGTTTAAAACAATTTCTACATTAATCTACATTTTTGATACCAAACTTATAAAAAATATAATAAATATAAAAGATAAAGGCGACACGTAGTACATCGCATGAAAGAGGAAAAAACAAGACATTTTTTGAATCCTCAGCCTGCTTCGATGACAATTTTTTTTGTCAGCGTAGAGGGCGCATCAAATTACATAACTTTATTAAAATAAGTTTTCTCTATTTCTTAAAATAAAAAAGTTAAACTTTCAGTACTTTTCCGGTTTTTTTATGATTACTCATAAAGTTGGCCATGGATCTCAAATTTGTTATTACGAGCATAAAGGCCTCAAAGATTTTTGACATGCATCGTGTATTAAGCGAGATACATAGGAGTGTAGCCCAGGTGATAGAACATTTGAGGCGTTTGTATTTAAAGTCATCTATTTTGTTGTACAGAAAAATCCCAAATATTATGTAGAATAATAATCCGAGTTTGCCTATTCAAAAAACCATTGCTAAATTCAGGGGAACAACAAACATACAAAAAGAACAAAAAATGACCTGTGTATCGATACATTTTTCCCTGTAACATTAAAAGTAAGCCCTAAATAAAAAAAAAATTTTGTTTATTTGACGATTTTCTATAAAGTTACAACAACTGTGAATAAAAAGAGCTGAATTTTGCATTAACAATGTGCAGAAAATAGTAGAAAATCAAATGTATATTTGGAGCAATTTTTAAAATAAGTAAATATTTATAAATATTGATGAAACTTTGTGAACAACGATCAATCACGTGGTTTTCGATTGACGGGATTGTTATTTAAGAAAATTTTAAAAAGTTTATTGCTTACCATGGGTTTAAATTAAGGTTTAGAAAGGGCACACAATTTTTTAGAGATACTTGTTGTCATAATAAACAATGATCAATACCAAAAATACGTATTTTTACACTTTTATAACCATTAAGAATTTTTTTTAAATTTTTTAATATTTTACTCTATAAAAAATTATTGCCCAGGGAATTTTCTATGCCATCGACAAAATCTTGCACACATAAAAACAACGTCGTAACACCTTGCTTTTTAGCTAAATACGACAGCACTCTACTGTGTACATTATGAGATATAGAAGAAAATTTTGTTATATTTCAATGAGTTAACAGAGAGATCAATAAAATAAGAAAACATAAATTTTTTTAATTTATTCATTAAAGCGTGAATTTCGTGGAATGCATTGATGAACACGAACTAATAAAACTTGATTACCATAATATAACTATTTTTTAAAAGCAAACGAAAGTGTCATAATTCTTTAAACTCAAAATTCGTGCGAAAATTATTTATTTTATTGATTTTTGATGACATATTCGTATTGCTCCCATTTTGCTATATCAAATTAAAAAAAATCGTCTTGATAAGTGCTATCGTTCCCGAGAAAAGTCATCTTTTATCGCGCATACGCATTTTGAAACCCATGCGGCGCGCGGCAGTTGCTCTCAGTCATCCCCACTCCTGTTCTGCCGAGAAATTCCAGTGACCATGGTACCTCTCTTGATTTTTCTTTCATTAAGCTTTTATCTGCCGAAAATGCACTAAACGGATATTGAAAGTACTTGTAGTTAGTTATAAAAACATATTTTTTTATTTTAATTATTATTAACTTTACGCTTCTATATCTCACAATAGAATGTTGTAGTATTTGACTAAAAAGCAAGGGGTTACGACGTAGTTTTTATGTGTCAATAAATAATTATTGTTTATACAGTAAAATGTTGAAAAATTTTGAAAAAATTCTAAATGGTTATAAAAGTGTAAAAATAGGTATTTTTAGTATTGGTCACTATTTATTATGACAACAAGTATCTTTAAAAAATTGTGTGCCCTTTCTAAACTTTAATTTAAACCCACATTAAGCGATATACTTTTTGAAATTTTCTTTCAATCGAAAACCACGCGATCGATTGTTGCAAAATTTTTAGGGTAGAATTCACATGTTTTACTATTTGTTCACAAAGTTTCATTAATATTTATAAATATTTACTTATTTTAAAAATTGCTCCAAATATACATGATTTTTTATTTTTCGTCCATTTTTAATGCAAAATTCAACTTCTTTGATTTGCAGTTGTTGTAACTTTATAGAAAATCGTCAAATAAACAAAAAACAAAGAATGACTTTTTTATTTAGGGCTTACTTTAATTGTTACAGGGAAAAATTGATCATTTTTCGTTCTTTTTATACGTTTGCTGTTCCCCTGAATTTAGCAATGATTTTTTGGAATAGGCAAACTCAAATTCTTATTCTACATAATATTTGGGATTTTTCTGTACAACAAAATATGTAGATGACTTCAAACACAAACGACAAAACGTACTTTTACTCTTCAACCGCCTGGACTAATGGCCCTGTTACAGTAGACAGCCTATAGTCTCTCAGATTTGTCAAAATTTAAATATCAACAGCAGATAAGCATTTTTAAGGGTTTTCTATGAGATTAAAAACAACCTGTAGGAAAAGATACCGATTAACAATAATTATACATAGCAAAATTGAATGCGAAATTTTTGGAAAATAGTTTACACGTTTGAGTGCGATGAACAGAAGATTACCAAGAGGATATGGACAAGTATTTGAGAAATGATTTGCATCTATTTTGCCTCACATCGAACCTGGTGCAGTAATTATCATAGATAATGTGCCTCACCATAGTGGATAGTAGAAAAATTGCCAACATTTCCATGGAGAAAGGGAACAATCAGGGAATGGAAAACATTTAATATAAAGACACTATGTTAAAGAAAAAGTCAAATACACGAAATATGTAGTTGGCGCGCAAAATGAATGTTCTAAATGGATGTTCGCTGTCACACAACTGCATTATGCTACAAAAAGAAGAACATAATATTCTAAAGATTAAAAAGTATTTTCTTAGATTTTTATCTTAATCGAATCCCTCATCACTATAATTTTTATAACATAATAATTAGTATGGTCTTATACTAATCTGTCCAAGAAAAAGGTTGTGATTAACCAACTTTAAACCCAAACATAAATTATTTCAAGTTTTTTCGTTTCCTTTTTTTTCCCTCCTAAATTCAAAAATGTTCAGGAATAAATGTCAATATTTTAACCATGCATTTTAACTCATCAAAACTAATAACTGATTAATTTTGCCTAACCAAAAATCTCATAATGAACAAAAAAAAACACCTCACTATATCATGCACTGCAATAAGTTGCTAACATTTTGAAAATCAATGTTTTCATTTTTAAAATTGAGAATGACATTTAATTTTCAAATGCTTTTTTGTAAGAGCACATGAATCTGATGGTTTCTGATAGTTTCCAATCGTTCTTAAACAGAATTACTCTTTAAATAATTATACCAACTTTAATGGTTGCAATGGCTTTGGAAACATTGCTAGGATGGGAAAAAATTAGACTGACATGCTGTATACTAAAAAGAAACAACTTTTCAATTGCATCAGGAATTTCCCATTTATGTATTTTAAATGTACCTTTATTTCCTTCATGATGCCTGCAGCAGAATTTCTTGTGGTTGGAATGAATATTGGAACCGGCACAGGTACAGGGAACGGAATGGGAACCGGCACAGGAACACTAAACATACGCATTGGTGTTGGAACATATATTGGTACAGGAACAGGTATAAGAATTTTCGATGCTTCTCTTTGATCAGTTTGAATCTCTTCATCTACCATTATCGGTTTTATTGTAGTACTTTTATGAGCTTTACGGGTGTAACACATTGTACTAACGTTCCTTTGTTCTGGCATAGGTGCCGGCCTTACAATAAAATGTTGTTTAATTTGTACTTGAACAGGTAAGTCGGCCAGAGAGTTTATTATTTGTGGTGCCGAGTTAATCACTTGAGTAGAATTCGCAGTTGCTTTGGATCTAGTTGAACGAGTATTTATTGGAGTAAGTGTGGGAGTTACTCCAACTGATTGCCCAATGTTCCCATTGCTATTTGCTAAACTCTGTACACTAGAAATTATTGGTAATGGAGATGCGTCACTTGTTGCAGGCACTGTAACATAAAAAATATACATATACAGGGTGTCCCACTAAGGTCGGCGAGGTACGATATTAGATAAAGTATAGGCCCCAGAGCTTCTGGAAAAAATTTTGATTAATAAATCGACTAAGAGAAATCGCTGGAAATAGTTTTCAACTTCGTAGCTCGGCCGTTAGGGGGCGCAATCTACATACCAAAACATAGAGTTGAATTTTTCCCAGAAATGTTTCCTATTCAGGTATATTAAATAGTACAAATATGGATAGCCGGATTCATTGTGCATAACTTTTGTTATTAACATTTTGTTCTATCTCTCGACAGAAAGGGTAGGGGAAGCCCCTAATGTCTGATCACCTTGTTGGAAAGGTCTTTTTATGCTTTATCTCGTGGTGAATGAGTAATGTCATTTACCTCAATATGGAAACCTATAGATAGCGTTATTTCAAAAGAATGCCGTTTTATGGATTTTTCTCAAAAATTTTAAATGCAATGCTATAGTTTCCTTTACATAAATGAATTCAGGACAAAAAATTGATGAATATATTATAAGTTTGAAATTTCTAACGAAAGTGTTGTTTATTTATTGACAATATTTATCCAAGTTTAGGTTGTTTCATGTTTTCTTAAAAAAGTGAAATAGCAGGATAAAACTTTTTATAGTTTTTAGTTCGAAGAGCATAAAACAGATACATTTTGACGCCAAAAAGGGTATGATAATTTTTTTTGTTATTAAGTTATTCGAAAATTTTGATAATGAATTGAGGAACACAACGCTAACGAAGACATTTAATTACCAAAACAAAATGCATTTATAAAAGAACCTACCTAAACCTACGCAAATGAGTGAGTCAATAACAATCTTGAAAATAATAACAAACAGATATTGAGATTATGTAAAGAAAGAACAATTAAATTTTAACAAAAGTAAATATGTTTATAAATGCTCAAAATGCATACCATTATTTTCAATCCAGGAATTTAACCTTCGTTGCGTGTTTAGGAAGGTTAGTGCTAGTACACTAAATTTTACATGAAACAATTGGGAATAACCTTGGGAACTAAGTCCATAGACCTTTATTTTTTACTTATTTATTTATTTTATCCAGATTCCATTTTTTGGATAATATTAAGAGGAGACTAAAAGTGGAAAATAAATACCAAAGAGAACAAGTATGATAAAATAAAGATATAATAATAATAATTTGTCCAATTCAAAAGAGGGCCACAAATTCTAAGCATATAAAGTTATTAAAATTATTTGTTGTATTAAACTATTACGATTTATTCAACCATAATGGACTAACTGTGAAGAGACAGATGAATACCATCAGGTCCTATATTTTTGTTTGTATTTAAATTTGAAAGCAGTTTAAAGTATATATTTGAGTCTGCTAGATCACATGATCATGTGAACTAAACACTCAACTTTCAAAAATTTTGTTGGGTTTTTCATAGAGTATGGGGCATGTAAACGTAATAACATTTTTTTGTTTGCATTAGCCTCAAAAGAAGCTATACTTGACGGTACCCATATCTCACAATTGATTCCAATGGGAAATCATTTGTATGTAGTTGATTGTATTCAAGGAATTTTCCTTTGTAATAGCAAAAAAAAAGTTAGAACTATTTTCAAAATTTACAAAATTGTACAAAATTTATAAAATGCTTCCAATTTCAAGTATATTTGTATACAGCGTGTTCCATCCAAGAGGGATTCTTCTACAATTCTGTAACTGTAAAATTGATTAAAAAAATGAGTTTAATAAAGTGTCTGGAATCATGTGGGCCATGTAAAGGAAATATTTTTAGCTTTACATTTTGCGTAGGTGCTACATAACTTTGTTATTTTAAATGAAATACCCTGTATGTTATTACATTTTTTATTTGCTTGGTTAATATTAGGTAGAGTTTATTAAATGTACATGGTGTTAAAAACTTACTGTGTTCGAAATATTCAGTTGTTTTTGAAAAAAATCAGGATTTCAGCTCTCTAAATGAGGCTAGACAGAATATAAACCGTAAGAGTTAGAAACCTGCAGTTTTCACAGTTCGTTTTGGCATAAATTACTCTAACTTTTTATCTGAGAGAAAAACCTGTATGTTATTCAGACTCGGAAATACTGATATCTACATTTAATAATCTTACGAGTTGAAATACTTTTTTTTTCAAACGGACTGATCCGTATTAATTGTCATGGGTGAATGCAAAATTGAATACCTTTTCGACTGATATAAGGTTGTCCATACTTATGTCTAACATTTTCCAGAAAAATCAGGTTCTTTGTTAAAGTCTGAAAAAGTAGCTATGTAACAGCATCAAGAAGGACTTGCAAACAATGTTTATTGCATACAAAGCAAATTAAATGTCACTCTAGTTTTGATTAACGCTGACGTTGTAGTTATTTTGTTATGTAGAGTAAACGTTGTAGGTGTTGTATATACTGATATTTTCGTAGAAGACTAAATAATAAAGCATAAATTTCATGTCGTTAATTCAAAATTTCCTATACCAACTGATGCAATTTTAGGCAGAGACTTCTTAACTAAATTTAAATGTGTTAGAAATCGAGCGAAAACGGATAATGTGAACACTTAACCCGAGAGGCAAGGGCTAAGTAAAATAAACAAATTCCTCGGCTAGGGCAGATGAGATACAAGGAACCATACATTCACCATTCGACGGCAGACATCCTTATTAACTAGCTGTTTTAAGTGCTTTATACACCTTTTATATTACAATTTAAAAACTTGTATTTAAAGTAATATATTGAATATTCGCTGATAATTAGTGTGTTTCAGAAAGTGGGATCTGAACTCGTGCGCTGATCTGAACTTCTGTGTCAAAGTGTTTAAGAAAATAAAATTAATATGGAAGGTTCGATAGAGCGACATCGAAGCTCGCGTGCGAGGCGTGGAGTCACCCGTAGGAGCCTGCCCGACGTCGTCGTCGAAGAGGTGCCTCTAGATCTGGGAGGAGGATGTCGACAGCAAGTGGTATGGCAGAGGTTCTAGCCAGCGCTGGAGCGAGCGATACTCCAGGTAACCGGTGAGCAGAGAAGTTCGCCCAAAGAAAACAGGGCGTTGGCCAGGCCACAGCGCTTGAATTCAGCAAGGCCGGTGTATGGCAGCGACCGGAAGCGGAGGCATATAGGCACATGAGCGGTACTCTGTCACCCTAGTGCTGAGAGTCTTTCGCAACAACCACGGCCGCCCCTAGGTCATGGCGTCACAGCTTGAAAGGTTGATTGAAAAACGGAGTCGAGACGTGAGTAATGTATCTGTAACCATTGTTGTATGACGTAAATAAATGGTAGCTGCTGTTGTAGTTGAACAGGGTTGATCCCTGGTACTTTGTTCTGGTACAGAGCGGAGTTTTGCTCTGGCAGAGTGGTATTTGCTCTGGACAGGTAGACTGGAATTTGGTCACCTGGAGGTATTTTTTTATTTGTGATATTTGCTCTGGACAGGTAGACTGGAATTTGGTCACCTGGAGGTATTTTTATTTGAGTGGTATTTGCTCTGGTCGGGTGGACTGGAATTTAGTCACTTGATGGTTTTTTATTTTATTTTTATTAAATATGTTTTTACTACTATTCCCATTATTTTATTATTGTTATTTTATTATAATTATGTTTTTTTTCTTTCTCCCCGCAGAACATTGTAGGTTAGAACCCTGGTATTTTGTTTTAGTACAGACCGGAGTTTTGCTCTGGCAGAGTGGTATTTGCTCTGGACAGGTAGACTGGAATTTGGTCACCTGGAGGAATTTATTATTTGAGTAATAGTTGCTCTGGTCAGGTAGACTGGTAGTGGTCACCTGGGTATGTTATTCAATGTGTATTTGTTTTGTTATTGTTGTTACACACGTGTACCTTTGTATATTTTCATAGGTAAAGTAGTAGTATAGTCACAGCATGCAAAAACTGATTTCAGGTTGTCAAATGCTTGTTCGATTTTTCTGCGCTAGGTAATGGGTTTAATACGGAATGGAACAAAGACATTCCAAACTTACAGCTAGGGAATTCCACGTTGTCACTACTGGTCTCCTAAACGGTGGCAAGGTTCAACCCTTAGATGTGACTACATATGACTGCACTAGCTGCTGAACATCAGGAAGCAGAAAAACGTCCCTTTGGCAGGAATCGCATTATTGGACCGATGTACAGGAAACGAGGTTCTACTATGACTTACGGCTGATCCAAACACCGCCAGCAGCTGCACGAGGCCCATTCAGAACGACCAAAAAGTTGGGAAATGACATGTATGAGGCCACGGACATACCTGGTGCTCTTCGTTCACGCATACCATACGAGGGGACTGCAGGGTCGGAGAATATGAGACCGTGGATGAGTTACAGTGATGCGCCCGCCGTAAGTAAACAGAACAGTAGGTACAGGCTAGAGTCCTGGTTTTTGGTTCTGGACAGAGCAATGCGGGTTGGGCCCCTGGTCTTTGCTCTGGCAGGTGGGCTATGCGAGTGCGCTTCTCGGTCTTAGCCACCTGACAGGAGAACTATGCGGGTGAGAGTCCTGGTCTTAGTTCTACCTGGAAGCGCGGGAGCTCCCAAATTAGGTGTAGTTATTTTGTATTATTAGCTATTAAGGATTATGCATG